TAATTAGGTTTTCAGGAGAGTGAAATATTTTGAAAAGAAAAAGTTTAACTAAAGGCATATTCGAAATACCAAACTCATCAACTGCAAACATCAACCTGGCAAGATGCGCCATGGGGGTGGGGTGCCTCTGGCTTCCCCAACCAGGATGCCTTCCCTGTGGGCGAGAGAAACAGAGCTGATGACTCCCGGTGCTCCAGCTGAGAGTCATGCTGGGCAGGGCACCCAGGGCCGGGGGAACGGAGGCCCCTCGGCAGCCTGATGGTCCAGGGGCTTCTCGGGCAGCTCCCCCAGGGACAGTACAAGAAGGGGGACAAAGCAGAACAAGTCCAGGGAAGAGCCCTGAGCTGACTCTGGCCAGAGTGACAGTGAGAGGCCCCAGAAGAGCAGAGGGGCAGGGGATGCTCTGGGAGGAGAGGGATGGGGCTGGGGAGTGAGGGTAAACACACCACAACAGCCGCTGAGGGCTGGCAGGGACTGCCCGGCCGCACTAAGCTGGCCCCACTGCACCCTCCACGCCACCGGCTGTGAATCACCCGGAGTGAGGGATGGTGCAGCCGGAAGCTGGCATGGCACTCACCTCACAACTGCAGTGGCCGGCATGGAGCCCTTCCTGCGGCCTGTGGGGCCAACAGAGCCAGGGTCTGAACCCAATCCTGCCGCATAAGTGTCCTTCCTTCTGCCTCACCTGAGATTGCAGGGGTCCTGGGGGTGGAAAGGGACTTGGGGCTGTGGTGTTGGCGCCTGTTTCTCACATTGAGCCTGTAAGGTCTGATCAAATAATTGAATCGATGCCTCCTCCCCTGGGAAACTGACCTTTAAGTAATTTTAGGTCTGACATTCCCTTTCGCTTAGACCACATTCCATTTGCTAAGACCAGTAACTTTCCCCTCCAGACTTGTCCAGGATCTGGACCCACCCAGAGAATTCCCCACTGAAGAAGCCCACCTAGAGTCCTTTAAAATATCTGACTCCCCTTCCCTGGGAGCAGGCACCATTTTGGGGCTCAGCCTATGTGGTCTCGCCAGATGATCTAATAAATTTATAATTCTTTACCACTTTCGGCCTCATGCGCTCCTCCTTCGGCGACTCTAACAGAGCCCACCTGGGGAATGACCCACAAGCCCAATCACAGAGGCCCCTGGATACTGGCTTAGGACAGCCCACAGGTGAGAGGGCAGCCGGCCGGCCTGAACCAGGCTTTCCAGCCATGTAGGCAAGATCCTTGCGTGGCAGGCAGATTGGCCGGCCACCACACGCCTACCAGCCATGAGGCTGAGGCACAAACAGGACACTTGAGCCCCTGGCCAGGTAGTGCCACCCACTGCGGGCATGAGGATGCCAGGCTCAGGACCCTTGAGAAAGAGGCCAGTTCACTCCCCAGCATGACAAAGCCGCCTGGGTAAGAGACACCACATGTGAAAGCCCACAAACTGTCATCAGGAGACCCATGACCTCCTTGCAGGTGGTTCTGGGCTGTCCCTGGCCACAGATAGCACATAGCACTCAAAGCCTGGATGTCCACAAAGAAACCCGGTCACCTTTGGGGTTTCTGAGGGGGCCCCACCATGGCAGGGACCTGTTCTCAGTAATGAAGGGTGCTCAGAGGGGCTTCGAGCCCAAGGTACAGGGAAAACAGAGCAGGCGAGGTGTGTATGGGACAGCACGTGACACAAACCCACAGAGGGAGGGCCAGCGGGCTCCACCAGTGCGAGCCTATGATTCCAAAAAGAGAGGAGGTCCCAACAGAGTGGACCCAAGATGTCCCTGTAGCTAAACATACAGAGGGATGGGCTTCTGAGAACAAGGGCTGATCACGGGAGGCCCTGACCGGATCTTCTTAATAATCCACTGGCCAAGGGCACCACAAACCCAAGGACACATTATGCGACATTTCCAATTTCTGGTGACAGACAAGACACAGCTGAGCAGCCCTAGCCAGTTTGGCTCAGTGGATAGAGTGTCGGCCTGCAGACCAAAGGGTCCCGGGTTCCATTTCAGTCAAGGGCATGTACCTCGGTGGCAGGCTCCTCTCCGGCCCAGGCGCTGGTCGGTCGGGGCTGCAGGAGGCAACCAGTTGATATGTTTCTCTCACATCGATATTTCTATCTTTCTCTCTCTCTTCAACTCTCCCTAAAAATCAGTGGGAAAAATATCCTGGGGTGAGGATTAACAACAACAAAAAGACACAGTTCAGCACACTCCCCCTCCCCGGAGCATGCCTGCACCTTCCCCTTCTCCTTCTCCTTCCCCCAAATTCCTGCATCTCCTAAACGCTAAGGGATCCCACAAGACGTGCAACCAGGGGAGCAATGGGCAGCAGCAGCTCATCCCAGGCAAGCCCCCTGAACCTGTCCCCAAGGCCCCCTTTTCTCTGGCTCTCCAGCCAGCTGACAGCAGCCCCACCTTGGCTCACTTCTTCCCCATAATGTTTCCTGAGAGCTACGGCTGCCCTACTGCTCTTTCTTGTTGCTTCTTCTACCCTAAGCCCTTCCTTGTTTTGCTGTCCCCAGCTTTAATGAACATACTCGCAAAATAAATAAAAAAGAAACAGCTCAGATACAACTGTATAAAAAAGGTTAAATCCTCACCTCACATTTATGTCCAAGTGAATTCTAGATGAATGAAATCTTGAGTGTAAACACTAAGCTAGAAAGAGCCACCGGAAAAGATTGATGTGAATTTATCTGGCTACATGCTGGGGAGGACAATGCATAGAACAATGAAACAAGTAAAAAAGAAAAAAAAAACTCAGTAGGTTTCACCACAAAATATGAAAAATGTCTGAATATGTAAACCATCACAAACTAAAATTAAAAGGCTGAAAAAAACTTGCAGCAGGCAGGCAGACAAGGGAAGAATTCATTCTTTAATGCGTCAAGACTCATACCAATGGCTAAGAAACACATCAAAACCTCAAGAAACCCTGGCTAGGGGCCAGAAGTGCAGCCTCGCTCAACCACAAAAGCAGAGCTGAGCCTTAGCCAGTTTATTCAGTGGTTAGAGCATCAGCCTGAGGACTGAAGGGTCCCAGGTTTGATTCCGGCCAAGGGCACATGCCTGGGTTTCAGGTTCGATCCCCAGTAGGGGGTGTGCAGGAGGCAGCCGATCAATGATTCTCTCTCGCCATTGATGTTTCTATCTCTCTCTCCTCCCTTCCTCTCTGAAATCAATACAAATATATTTTTAAAAAAATAAAAAAAGAGACCTACCTCAAAACAAGGAGCTCAACACAGACTGAAAGTGAAAGGATGAAAAAATATCTTCCAGGCAAATGGAAATGAAAAAATAAATAAGTAAATTATATATATATATATATATATATATATATATATATATATATATATATAATTGATTTCAGAGAGGAAGGGAGAGGGATAGAAACATCAATGGTGAGAGACCCCTAACTGGTTTGGCTCAGTGGATAGGGAATCGGCCTGCGGACTGAAAGGTCCCCGGTTCGATTCCGGTCAAGGGCATGTACCTGGGTTGTGGGCACATCCCCAGTGGGGGGTGTGCAGGAGGCAGCTGATCAATGTTTCTCTCTCACTGATGTTTCTAACTTTCTACCCCTCTCCCCCTTCCTCTCTATAAAAAAATCAATAAAATATATTTTTTAAAATGGTGAGAGAGAAACATTGATTAGCCGCCTCCTACACACCCCCTACTGGGGATCGAGCCTGCAACCCGGGCATGTGCCCTGAATGGGAATCGAACCCTGACCTCCTGGTTCATAGGTCGATGCTCAACTACTGAGCCACACCAGCTCGGCAGCCTGAGCTTCTTTAACCCAATTCAGAGCCCCTGCAAGCCTACCAGTCTGGCCACCAAGATGCTTGGCTGGACCTTCGTCCTCCCACGCAGCGAAGTGGCAGCGGATCCCCAGCTCCCACCAGCCCAGCTGTGAGCCTCCAACAACTGATGTCCTGGGGAATAGACAAGAGGGGGTTCCTTGCACCTCTCCTCTGTCGCACAGCCCTTAGCACAGGACACGCAGGCATCTGGAGATCCAAGGACTCTCACCACCCCCTGAGCACTGACTGGGCCAGGCCCTCCACACTGGGCACTCAGTGAGGATCCACAGAGCTGGTCGGCTGAGCCTCCTACAGAGACGGCACCCAGTGGGTCGGGGGCAGATCACTGGGCTGGGGACTGGGAGCCTGGACTGGACGGAGAAGAGTGACTGGGCGCATTCTTACAAGCCATCACCACTCTATGAAAGCCACCACCACAGTACACTCTGGCAGACTGAGGTGTCAGCAGGGCACACCTTGCACCATTCAGAGGGTCCTTGGGGAGACAGGGGCCACTCAGCCTCCTGCTACACTTCCTGGCATCATGCCCATCCCACTGGAGCTGTGATTAACAGAGAAACCCACAAAACAGATACCACCCAAGGCCTTGGGCCAGCACATGTCATCAGACTATTCAGGGCACTGTCGACCGTGGCAGCTTTCGCTCTACAACGCAGACCAGTGTGGCTGTGAGTGGCAGACCTACGGCCGGCAGGATTGAAACATTTCCTCTCTGGGCCCGACAAAGCCTGCTGCTTGGCCTTGGTGCCCTCCTCCTGGCACTCTGGCATGTGGGCCCACTGCCTGTCCATAGCCGGTGGCTTTAGTCTCCCCTGGCAGCAGGGACCACCCTGAGCTGGGCAGGCTGTGCCAATATCGGACACTGCCGTGGCAGACGTCCATGAGAAGGTGGTGCAGAACAGCCCAGCTAACGTCCTGGTCAGTTGGCCCGCATGCAGGCTCATCCCTTAAGCCAGGTGTCAAATGGTGGCTGCTGTCCACACTCACGCCATCAGTGAATCCAGGCAGGGGTGGCAGGAGGTCTCAGGTCCAGCCCAGGGTGCTATGCCCACCCAGCGAGAACCTGACTGGAAGCACACACCACTGAGAGCCACGGTCCATCCCTGTTGACCACACTGACCCAGCCCACCAGGACATGCTGCTGTCCTGTGTGAGGAGATGTCCCCAAGCCATGCCCAGGTCACCTACCTGTCTCAAGGGGAGATCAGCATGTCCCGACACCCATCCTGCCGACTCCAGCTCCTGCAGGGAAACCGAAGGCACCTCGTGAGGCCCACCTGCCAGGCTAAGTCTCTTCTGGATGTGGCCAGACTCCTGGCTGGGCACCGTCATCCCTGATCCCGAGGTCACCGGTGGTGCTTCTGACATGCACAGTTGTGAGCACTCCTGTCCCCACTCGACTGGGACCATCACATCTGCAGTGTGCACTGGAATACCCTGGTCCCTGTGTTTCCAACGTGTGACGATTCTTCAGAAGTGTGATTGTTGAGTTGTGAACTGATGACAACATCTGTCCCCCTTCTAGAAGGCGGGGTGTGCTTTGTTGTGTTAAAGGCCCAGAAAGGAGAACTCCCACACCAGCGTCCAGCCCATGCAGGGTGTCACGACCCGCTGCCTAGGGCTCTGTCCCCACCCCCTGTCCTGCAGGACAGGCCACCTGCCTTTCCTGAGGCTCCCTCAGGCCACCCAGCCCCCTGGTCTCTGGGCGCCAGGGACTGAAGCTATGGCCAAGTGCCCTTCACATGCCTGCAGAAGTGGGGACGGAGGACCCACGTGGCCTTCTGTCTTGACCAACAACCTGGGAATACATTTCCCCTCGTATCAAGCCTGGAGGTGTTGCCAGAGAGTGTCTGTGTCATGAAAAAGAAAGCCAGGGTGGCAGAGACGGGCAGAGAGGGTCTGGACCCCAGATGGGAGGCGATCTCCTGGGAGGCGTGATTGATATCAGGAGCTCTCTCCCTCAGCTCCACGGTATCTTCCAGATTGTTCCACCTATGTCCAATCTTCCTTTGTGGACGTGGCCCCTTCGGGGCCTGGAGGGTGGGCTCCTTCCTCACTCAGCCCCTTCATCAAGGGTAGGGGCTTCAAGTCAGGGAGGATCATGGGGTCGGAGGCAGGACACTGGGGCCTGAGGCAGGGAAGCACGGGAGCCAAGCTGGGCATGCACATGCATGTGAAGACATGAGCTTGTGCGCCGAGGAAGGGAGGCGTGGTCAGGAGTCCACCTGCCCACGGACGCCCTCCTGCTCATAGCCCAGGTGCTGCTGCTCCTGTGCCTAGGGCTGAGGCTCAAGGATCAGCTTTTGCTCAGAATGTGACACTTCTGGGACACCTCTGTTTTCGGCTTCAATGTTCATATAGAGCTTGTCCCAGAGAACTGCATGCCTTATTTATTTATTTGTTTATCTATCTATTTATTTATTCATTTATTCAGGCCTGAAAACCACCAGCCTCACCCTAGCCGGTTTGGCTCAGTGGATAGAGCGTCAGCCCTCGGACTGGGTTGGATTCTGGTCAAGGGCACATACCTCGGTTGCAGCCTCAATCCCTGGCCCTGGTCCAGGCGTGTGCAGGAGGCAACCATCGATGTTTCTCTCTTTCTCTATCCCTCCCACTCCCTTCCACTCTCTCTAAAAATCATTGGGAAAATATCCTCAGGTGAAGATTAACAAACAAACAAAAAAACCCACCAGCCTCTTCCCAGCACTGGCCTCATGAGAAGCCTCTTTTTTAAATGGTGGAGGTTTTATTATTTTATTTTATTCATATATTTTTTTTATTGATTTCAGAGAGGAAGGGAGAGGGGGAGAGAGATAGAAACATCAATGATGAGAATCATTGGCTGCCTCTTGCACGCCCCCTATTGGGGATCGAGGCCACAACCTGGGCATGTGCCCTTGACCAGAATCAAACCCAGGACCCTTCAGTCTGCAGGCCAACGCTCTATTCACTGATGAGAAGCCTCTTGAAGTAACTGGCTGTGCACTATCATCACATAGACTCTCACTCGACACCTTGGGCCGGCCCAATACCCCATGTGACAGACGGGGAAACTGGGTCCAGGCAAGGTGGCACTGGGCCAGCACTTGAACTCCGGAGGTTTCCTGCCTCCAGGGCTCCCACAACTCACCCACTGAGCTGGGAATGTGCGGTCACAAGAAGAATGTGCTCCTTTTCCTGGGGCTCCTGCCAGGCCAAGAACCCCACAAACACAGAGGAGACCAAGTAGTAAACACTAGTGTGGGGGTGGGAACGTCTGCAGGGCCACGTGGGGGAGGGAGTCCCAGGAAGAGCTTCCCACAGTGGAGGGTGGAAGCAGAGGGAGCGGGAGGGCTGGGGAGGCATGGGTCTCCACTCCCAGGGCATCCTTGTCACGGCAGTGCTGTATCGGTCAGGGCAGGGCAGAGCCTAACAGGACTCCCGGGACAGTGGACAGATGGACCAACAGATGAACAGACTTGAGATATGAAGGTAGAACCAGTGATGCGATTTGTGATGTGAGGGCAGGGGGTACCTGTCATGGGGAGCCCTTCTCATCATCCCCTTAGAACTGGTCTGCAGGTTCTGGGGTCACCTGCCAGGCCAAGGACCCTCTACCAAGAACCTCAAGGTCAAGGGAGTCACCACACCCCTTAATCAGACCCACCCCAGCCTTGAAAAGGCCTGCTGTGTCTCCAACTGAGGCAGAAGCCCAGCCCAGCCTTCAAGGGCCAGCCTCCAGGCCAGAACAGCAAGCTATGGACCCGCAGACATCTGACAACGAGACAGCTCCCATGGGCACCAACGGAGTCCAGAGGAGGGCTGGGGCTAGGGCTGGGAGGGCTGGGCTGGTGGCCTGGGGCCACAGTGGGTAGTGAGGAGCTCAGGGGAGGGTCTCCAGCAGGCCTGTCGGAGAGCCCGCTTTGCACCAGAGCCTCGGGCTGCACCACGGCAAATCCTGATGAGCTCTTCCAAGCCGCCTCCCTGTCACTCTGGTAACTCGGTGCATCGTGAAAAGGCACCCACTTTGGCTGCACCCTTTCGGTTATAGACGAGGGCACTGAGGCAGAGGCACAGCCCCACCCGGAGTGGCTGGTTTGGAGTCTTTGCCGGGACGCTCGTGATGGCGGGGCTGTCCTATGGAAGCAGGGCGGTGCCTGGGGTATGCAACGGAAGGAGTCCTCGCTCTCAGTGCTGTGCCGCGGCAGGGCCCGTCCCTTACTGCCCTCGCCCAAGACGGCGCTCAACACCCTGCCATTCAGACTTAGGGTGTCCTCTGCCGGCACCAACGGTGATGAGGAGCTCTGAGGGGTAGCAAGGGGCTTGTTCCAGGGATCCTGGCTCCTCTCCAGCTGCGCACCCAGAACAGGCAACCTAGAGAAAGCAGAGCCCTGGTCTCTCTACAGGGTGCCTCGGGAAGGGTCCTGGGTGGAGCCAGTCTTGCCTGGCATGGTGGTCCCTGGTGCCCTCTGGTGGCCGCACTTAGCTTGCTGCTGCTTTGCTCTAGACCAGGGGTGGGGAATGTCTAGCCCTGGGCAGTACAAGGCCTGAGAAATCATTTAGTCTGGCCCTCCCAAGGCATTCGGGGTGAGTTAATTAAATGTTTGACCAAATATAGCAGGCAAATTTTTAAGCTGGTAATTTTGTATGGCCCTTGATTGATGTTATAAATATTCAAATGGCCGTTGGCAGAAAAAAGGTTCCCCACCCCTGCTCTGGGGGCTGCTGGCCCCTCTGGATCCACTGGGGCAGGGGGAACGCCTATGACTGACCCAGGGTGGGGGGAGGGGAAAGGGGGAGCCATGTAGGTGAGGTCGTTGTCCACCAGCACTGGGCTCATCTTCTGACCTGTGAAGTAGGTCACCATGTGCTGCCCTTCCAGTTGGGAAGGCCCATGAAAGGGTTCCTGACCCCATGTCCCCCCTCTGGTTACTCTCTAATTCAGGGGCTCCTGCAGAGTGGCCCTAGACCTCATCCTCATCTTGATGGGAGCTGCAGCAAAAGGACACGTCTTCCCCCCATTTGAGCCATTACTGGGGAATTTCCCAGAACCCCTTGTACCCTCCCCTCTGTATCCCACAGTGCTTGCCCCCAAGGCCCTCATTTTCCTTTCCTGGTCCTCCACTCCAGCTCTGTCCCCTCCCTCTCTCTGCCCCCTCCTTCTCTCTGCTGAAGCTGGGTCACAGGGCAGATGCTAGGGGCTGGCTGAGGCTCTGCATGCCTGGTGTCCTTGGCACCCCCCAACCCCACCCCCAGCTGTGCTTCAGTTTCTGGTTGCTCTTGGAGGCAAAGGATCCCACTGCTCATGTCCCCCAAGCCTGTCTCTTGGGGTGAAGGGGGCACAGTAAACCCACCCTGAATCCTTGTGCAACACAAACAGGAAAGGAGATGCAAAGGAACCCCCAAATTAGGAAGAGACCTGAGGGGCTACCTCTGGAGGGGGCACTACAGTCCAGATGTGACAGGGGAATGGGGGCAGCTCTGACTTAGTAGGACTGAAGGCTGAGGGCTTGAGCCAGTTCATCCAGGAGGGACTTGGCCATCAGCTACCAGGGTCTTGCAGAAAAGCGAGTGAGGAAGAGCAGGGTGGGGCTGGCCTCGCTGTACTCACATGACCCTCCTCCCCTGGCCAGATCAGAGTCCCCAGCAAGAAGAACGCCATGTGCCCAGCTCTATGCTAGATGCTGGCAGACCACAGACTTGCAGGGGCAACAGGGGATAGACATGGTACAGTAGATGGAATAGAGCAAGGCTGGGAGAAAGCATACCTTCAGGTTCATGGCCACACATGCTGCGGCCAAACTCAAGGCCTGGACCACCTGCTCGGGAATTGAATGGCCATGGGCTTTGACTGTCCCCTGTGTCCAGCACCGTCCCAGAGCTACACTGAGCACAGGTCAGGCAGGCAGACCTCTGGTGGCAGCCTGGATCTGGGAGTGGAGGCAGGCAGAGTAGGGGGCTCACATCGTGCCCCTGGTGCTGTCCTTATGGGGCAGGTTGCCCCCCTAGGCACTAAGCTGCTCATCCCCTGAGCACCTGAATGTGTAAGTCCTGACCTGGTGTGTGCCCTGCACAGTAACATGCGTGACAAGGGGAAGGGGCATGAGCAAGAGGTGACGGCCCGAGGTTCATTAAGAGTCTATCCTAAAAGATCAAACCCCATTGAGCAGGTTCTTCTCTCTCCTTTGTTTCTAAACATGTTTGGATCTAAAGTGCATCGGAACCAGAGCAATA